TGTTGTGATCCCAAGAAGTGCATAATTGCAATATGTTCCAATGATATGTGTTGCATGCTTCATCACATGATTATTATCTTTGTGGCTGAGGCTATATGTAATTTTATGCACAATGAGTGAGTTTATTACTGTAGGCTAGGTTGACCTTAATTACTAAGTGATTGTACTCACCCCTTATTCTTTAATTTTACAAGGCCTAGCTAATCGTATCAGGATTGGAAAAAACGAGCAGAGGCCTAGGATCGAGTGAAAATCATATCAATAGGCCTCTCAATTTACTTATATGTGTATTGTGATAGTTAATTTGCTAACTAGGATGTCATTCTATTCTTTTGATTACTTGCATTATGATTGAGAGAATGTTTAGTGTATTTTGTACCCTGAGCTATTGATATGTGGTTGTAAAGTCTAAATAAGGCCGAAGTACTAGTGCAAGTAGGGTAAAGTACATTTAGATTGTTTTGGATGAAAATTAATGATTTTATACAAGTTATCTCCCCCTTTTTATTTTTGTGAAACAAGGGGTTGAGAGATGAGTTTGTGTAATATGTGTATTGGAATGGCTGTGGTGTGTTGCATGAGTCTAAAATGGTCCATTGAGTGAGGTGTAAGGGTAGGTGTTGGCTTTAGGCACATGTGTTATGGTTTGAACCCTAGTTGTAAGTTGTTGTGAAAAAGGAGTAAGTTTTGGAAAGAGTGTCCAACTTTTGATAGAAATATAATTTGATTGTAAAACTTATGCCATTAGTTAGAGTGAAGAGAAAGCTCTCTGTAGACACCTAGATCACTTCAATTAGACGTCGGATGAAGAAATAGGACATATTGGAAGTTCGTTTAGGTGCTGTCATATGATAATAAAGTTTGCTATCAAAATTCATGCAATACACTGCGGAGTATGGCACAAAAAACACAAGTGGTGGCGCACCTGTAGTAAGCTGTGGCACATATCTAGGTCATCCTCATGTAATAGTTTAAGGTTTGTAACTCTAATTAACAAATAACACATCAATAAGAGACTACCATGTCAACATTTGATTGGGCGCCATGGTAAACAATAATGACGTCAATAAAAAGTTAATGATAGGGTTTAAGTTACTATAAATTTAAATTTTAAAATTTATTTTCCACATTTTAAGAATTTCGAATCTAAGGCACTTTTTCAAAGTCCATTTTGCTCATTTTTTCTTTAATCTAAGTCAAAGCTAGGAAGTGTGTGGTTACAATATAACCTCCTATTACTTTTGCAGCTCATTGAGTTGCATTAGTTTCTCTCTCTCTCTTTCTTGCAAGTCTATTAAAGCAATCTATGCAATTTCTATCGTATGAGTTGGATTATTTTATTTCCTTAGCATCTTTCTTTCTTTTTCTTTCCTTTATATTTTTTTTTATCACTTGCTTTGATGGGATATCTTATTCTCCTTCCCTGTAACTCTTTTGAAAATACATTGCCAGAATGCCTTTTGTATTTAGGCTAGTAACCTTATGAGATTTAATTTCCAAGTAATGGGGAAGAGGCTCATTTTTCAAGCTACGTCTAAGGTCCAGTCCATTTATGTAATACTACTACTAGAGTCTCCAGTGGGGACATGGCAACTTTTTGCACGATTGATTTAAATTTTCCCTCGTCCTCTTTTTTTTTTTGACCAAACCCTCGTCCTCTTTCTCTGTTATTGTTTTTGTTATAAGTACAGTACATTCCATTCCCTCTTGTCATTTTTTCTTTCCTTACTTTTTTTTTTGCTATATGAAAAACAAAGCTGGACCATGAAGTGTTCTTAAATTGGTATTATTCAAATGAAAAAAATTAATCATTTAATTCTTATGATTTTAACCTACTTGTAGCTCAATTTTTAAATTTTGATTCATTGTAACTCAATCTTTATAGTTTTAATTAAGTTATAACTCAATCCCTGAACTTTGTCTTTTGCAATTGACTCACTATAATTTCAACCATTTAAATATTGATTCCTAAATTTTTAAAAAATAAAATTTTATAATATTTATAATATTTATAAAGACTAAAAGGGTTTAATAATTTAAAATATTAGTAATAAAATTTAAAAATATTATAAATATTTTTATTACTAATATTGTAAATATTATAAATATTAAAAGTTCAAAATATTATAATTTTAATCTTTTAATCTTTAATTTTTTTTGGCCAATTAATCTTTAAATATTAAAAGTTCAAGATATTTTTAATCTTTATAATTTTATTTTTTTTAAAATATATGAACCGATATTTAATGGTTGAAACTATAGAAACTGAATTACAAGAGGTAAAATTTAGGGATTGAGTTACAATAAAACTATAAGGATCAAATGATTAATTTTTTTTAAAGTTAAGTTGGACCATGAAGTATTTTTAAATTGCTATTATTCAAATTTGCCTCCTGACTTTCAGTATCTCGCCTTCTGTATTGATCATCTCTTGGTGCACTTAGTTCAATTTGTTCTGCATATTTTAATGATCTGACTCTTGTTGCATTGATATATCCATTCCTGGAAATGACATTGTTAACTCCTGTGTCCATCAGAGATGCGTGTGTATTCGTTCTTGCAAAATTGAAAAATGTGACTAATGTCTAATTATATTACAGCCACCTTCTAGAAATTCATGGTTGAGTTCTACGATTGCTACTATTATTGGAAATTTAGCAATGTCCATAGTAGAAATGTAGACGCGGTCCGTTAGTTGATAACTGATGTGGTTCAACTTTTTTCAATTCTGATTTTGGATGAGAGGGTCTATCATTTTTCTTGCATCCTTTCTTTTTATGCGACCCAGTATTGTTTGCAGTAATCCAGGCCATCCATTTTCCTCTGGTGTTACTTTGGCTAAGCTTGCTGCTGTTATGATGGATGAAGATGGGAATGAAACATTTGATACGAGTGGTGCTTTGGAATAATTACTTCAATGAAGTTAAATGAAAACTCCATGGCAGCAGTGGCCTCTGCTTTATTTGTATACATATTTTTTTAAGGTAACCCAAAAACTTTGCGTGCAATGATGTGCTACTATAGCATGCTTGGACATATCAATGTTTTCAAAGACTTACAAAGTTGTTTACATTTGCCATGATCCTGATGGAAGACATCAATAATGCCTTTAAAAATTATCCTTTTACAGCAAATATCTGAAAAAAAAAGTTTTACCCCTTGATATATATATGATAATTTCTATCAAAGAGACTTTACCTCATGGCTATCTGATATACTTCAATCATCCAATGTTGACATTTGTCAAAAAACTTGTGTTAATATTTTAAGTTGAAAACTATGGGAAGTTCACAACCAACACATCTTCACTAAGGAGGTTGTTGATGAATTTTCTTTCCTTGTATGTATTAAAGCTATTATGGATCATGCTCATATGTCTTTTTTGCTCTTTAATTGCGTGATGTAATTGCTTTTTACTTTTTTTTACATATTGCATATATAGTTTTACTTAATAAATTTCCTTTTCACTCCAAAAAGAAAAAAGAATTACAAAGCTGTACATGCTCTTTTTTTTTGGGTAGTGCCTTTGCATATCCCAGAAACAGTATATTTTTGCTCATTGTTGGATGCAAAGATGCCCAAAATGGTAGTGATTACAATTTAGATAACTTGTAGCTGGCATTTCATGATATTTGTGTTATTGGTATTGAGAGTTTGTAAGCCTTATACGGGCTATTGTGAGATGGGACTGTTTTTCTTTCTGTTTAGTTCTGTCCTCGTGGCATCTTTGAAAGGGAGCTTTGCTATGAAAAATGGAAATGGGATTGGGAAAGTGATTGTATCACGACCTTGTTTGTTTGATTGATTTAATAAATATTTTGGTCTATCTTAGCTTAGTTGTTGTCTATAATTGTTTTTGTATATCAATTTTATGCTAAATTTTTGATGATCAGAATAGTAGATCAATAGGAAATGTCTTGTAACCATTCTCCCATTGATAAGTTGAGATTTACTTTTGCTTTTCTTTTTATCACTCATAGATCTATTCAATGTTTTTTAGTTTATTTAATTTATTATAGTAATTTGATTTGGTTATTCGCATAATAAATTCAATTAATTTTCTTTTAATGTACACTGTATTATTATTTTTCAAATTAAAATAGCTTCTTTTTTTTGGATAAAATCTTTCTCGTTAGGAGGAGAATTCTAATTGAAATAAAATTAAAAAGAAAGTGACAGATTCATAAACAAACAAATCCAAGGAAAAATAAAAGAAAAGAATAAAAACAGATGACAATTCAGGAATTCGGTGAGATCACTAAAATCAGAATCGCATGAAACTAAGGTAAAATAAAAAATTGATAATAGATTTCAAAAATAAAATCAACATAAAGTATTTTTAATTTTCAATACCCTTCTGGCCGCATTTACAAGGAAAGAGAATAAAAAATTTAATTCTATTTATATGGTACTTGTTAATTTTTAATATTTTTTTTATATTTTTATCTTTATTAAATACTTTAAATAAAAATACTAGTAATAAAATTTAAGAATATTTATTGGAAGTACATGTAAAAACTTATTAAATTTTTAAATAAAATTAATAAAATTTAATATTTTTTTTATTCCAATAAAACATGCTGCAAGTGATTTATAAATAAAATTAAAGTGAATAATAAATTTCAATATAAGATCAACTCTAAGTATTTTTAAAAAGATAAAAACAAAATGTTAAATTACATTAGTATATGGTAATATTGTAATATTAATAATTAAACATATGTACTGAATAAATAATAAATGTATACAACGGTAAAGTAACATGTGTATGTTTTCTACCCTAATAAATAATCAGCCAAGCTTGAAAAATGTCTTGACTAACTCACAGCGAACAATAAATAAATAAATTATATTTTTGTTTGATAAAATATAAATTATATTTTATATTATGTCGTTTTTCTTTTCCGTCTTTTGCCGGTTGTCGGTGACCGGCTTTAAATGAAGACTGAAGAGAGAGTATTTTTTTTCCCCCCTTTCCAACGCTCAAATCCCTCAACCGCATCTCTCAACTCTCTACCCCAATCAATGATGAATGAAAAAGATCTTGATTGACAGCTAACAACAAATAAATAAATCATATTTTGTGGATCAAGAGAGTGTTTTCTTTTTAATGCTCAACGGCTAAAAATATTCATCATTTATCACATCATCTCTCCCCAATATTTTTTCGTTGTTCTGGACATTCACCGATCTAAATTCCACTCTTGGTGTGACCGTTTTCCTCTCCGTACCGGAGAGGTCTCCACCGCCATTTTGCGTGGTTTCTTTTTCATCTAGGGTTTGATGGCGGCAAAGGGTTTAAGCGGTTCCTCTATCCGATTGCCACTGTGCGAGACAGGGTGGATGCTTGGCGAAGGAGACGCGGGAGATCGAGGGGGTGTCGACGGAATGAGCACTAAAAAGGTGCGGAACTGCTGATGGGTGACGATTGGAAGCTGGCTCTAATTCAAGTGCATGGAGGAGATGGTATCTGACGAGCCTTGCTTGACAAAATACGAGACCAGAGTGTTCTTTGATAGCGTCGTCGGAGCTAATCTCACGTACGGCAGTCTCATAAGAGTTGTAGGTCTGTCTCAGGAAGAGCTATTTTTATGGCTCCCCGTTAAGGATACAATCGTCGATGACCCTAAATCTGGCTTAATACTGTTCGACATTGGATTAGCTCACAGCAGCTCCTTCTCTCCCTCCCTGTCTCGAAGATCCGCTTCACTGCAACCCCAAGGTAATTCCGCTTCATATTTTTTCTCGGATCAAACCAGTTAGCTCTAATTCTCTGGATCGCTCTTCATTCTCATGAATTGAGATCTGCTTTGCTTCTTGATCTTGTTTTTTTTCCCCTCCTCTGTTTTACTTGTCCGTCTGGTTCATTTTCCTTTGCTTTCGAGTTTGTGGACAACGCATCACGTGGCGCTTTGTATTTGATGATTATCATTTTTGTGTTGTTTTGTGTGTACGAAACAGCTTTTTGAAGGACGTTACTGTTTTATGGCCTGTTCCGGTTTCTAAATGCTTCAGAATCTAATTGTATACAAACAAGGATAGTTTATTTCTGGGAATTTTTCAGGAGATCACGTTTTTGAAGTTCTTAGGATTTATCTCTGTATATCAGAGAACTGATAAAATTAAGTCAATTTTATATTAAGGCCTGGGTTTCTTTGTAATTTCAGTTAGTTTTCTCCACTCTTTCTCCTTTGTGATCATGATAATATCCCTTCTTTCAGTTAATTTCATACCGCTGGCAGAAGTTAGATTTTCATTTCTTAGTTTTTGTTATTTTTTGAGGAAAACAATTTTTTCCAGATTTTTTTTTCATAATTTTCCAAATTTTTAAAAACTTTTTTGGATTATAATTATATTTTCATTATTTTTGTTTTTGTTGTCTAATGCTTCCATTGTCTCATTGCCTACATTTGTGAGTTCTTGCTCACGTTCAGCTATTCCCTTTATTGGTATCATTTAAATAGATCACTTCTTTGCTGGTCCAAAAAGAAAAAAGGTTACTTCTATTTTGAAATGCTTCTACGGGACATAAAAAGGAGAGACGAAGCTCTTTCTCAAGGTTACTAATGGTTACTGATAAGACTGACACAACCTTTTCAATTAACTTTCTTAATTCTTTTCTTTTTCTGAAATTGTGTTTCTTTCAAAATATGCTTATCAGTTGGTGTTCCTGTTGATGAGAAAGGGCAAGTGGAGACCGATAACTGATTGAATTTAAATTTGAGACTTTGTGAATTATTTGATTCCTTTTTATTTCTAGATTATACAGAGTGAGTCAAGAAAATATTTGTTAATTTGCCTTGGTTCAATTCCCTGGGTGAACGTTCAATTAACTTGGATATTTTGCACTCTAGTGTTGATGCTGGCTAATAATATTTTCTTAAGTCATTTTAATTACAGAAGATTGTGTTAGTAATTAGAGGCTTGAGTTTTCTGGGCAAACTGTAAAGGTTGAGGGTTTATGTGCAAATAAGATTTGCGATTCTACTTGTACTTCTCAATTGTAATATCCTTTATTTTGGAGGTAATTTTAAAATCTCTTGACAGTACGCAGGATTGTTTCACACAAATCAGTGAACTTAAAGGCAAAGCTAACTTCTCTTGGGACCAGCAATCCGCAGCAGCAATGTTAAGACTCGCTTGGTGAAGTTATATTGCTTGAAGAAAGGGCAGGCTCGAACCCTAGAGATGCCTCACTTTGACTGGACTGGGTAATTCACTTGGACTTTGTTTCTGCATTTCAGAAATCTTACATAACTTGGACTTTGTTTCTGCATTGCAGAAATCATACACCATGTTTCTACATTTTATTGCTCTTTTTTTGTTTATTTTTTTTAAACACTTTAAAGCTTTTTTTGATACATAAGCGCATCTTTTTAATCTTTGCACTTCCTATTATTTATCTATAAATATATATTTTTGTATAAACTCGATTTTCTTTGTTAGCTTAAATATGTGTTCGAAAAGTGCTTTAATGTTTTATATTTTTCTCAATTTTTAAAATTAAAGTCATCTTTTATTTTCTCAAAAAACAAAAAATCCCGATGTGGGCCCTTGAATGAGATCATGCTCTGCACATACACCATGTATAACTCATTGCATTCTTTCTCCTTTTAAGTTGGTACTTTTTGTTGATTTTTCTTTTTTACATTTTAAATCTTTTTTAAATAAAAGTACATCTTTTTAATCTTTGCACTTCCTATTATTTATCTAAATTTTTTGTTTAAACTTGATTTTCTTATTTAGCTTAAATATGTCTTCAAAAAAATTCATATCGCTTTACACTTTTATTGAGATCAATTTATAAATAAAATCCATCATTTGTGAAGAATGTTAATCTTATATTCTTAAAAAATTTTATCATGTCATCAAGCATTTAAAGTATGTTTTAAATATATATTTTTGATGTAGGATTGGACATTGCATTTTTTTTTCCTTGTCAATTTTCTTTATTTTTTCTTACATTTTAAAGCTTTACTTAAATATAAACATATCTTTTTAATCTTTTTACCTTCTATTATTTATCTATATTTTTTGTTTAAACTTGGTTTTTTATTTAGCTCAAATATGTCTTCAAAAAGTGCTTAATGCTTTATATTTTTGTGGATATCTTTCTCAATTATTTTAAATAATTGTCATCTCTTGTTTCCTATAAAAAAAATAGTTTTGACATGGGGACTTGATGAAACCATAATGCACACTCACCCTATCAACTCGTTTCATTCTTTGTGTATTTTCTTGTTCTTTTTGTTATTTTTTTGCTTACATTTTTAATCTTTTTTAATTATAAGCATGTCTTTTTAAGCTTTACAGTTTCTATTATTTATCTCTTTTTTTGATACTTGATTATTTTATTTACTTAAATATGTCTTCAAAAAGTGCTTTTGCTTTATATGTTTCATTATTTCTTTCTTAATTTCTAAACAAAAGTCATAAGTTATTTTCGTTTTTAAAAATATATTTTCGATGTGAGACTTGATGAAACCACCATGTGGCACATCATACATAACTCATTATTTGTTGGTTTTTTTTATTTTAAAAATTTTCTTAAATATAAGCACATCTATTTTTTTTTTAATCTTTGCACTTCTTATTATTTATCTATATTTTTTTTCGTTGAAATATGATTTTTTATTTAGCTTAAACATGTCTTGAATAAGTGTTTAATGCATTATATTTTTCATGATATCTTTCTCAATTTTAAACAAAAGGCGTCTTTTATTTTCTTTAAAAAAATACTATAAGCATGTCTTTTTAATTACACTTTCTATTATTTATCTCTATTTTTTATGCTTGATTATTTTATTTAATTAAATATGTCTTCAAAAAGTGCTTAATGCTTTATGTTTTTCATGATTTCTTTCTCAATTTTTAAACAAAAGTCATATGATATTTTCTTTTAAAAAAATATATTTTTGATGTGAGACTTGATGAAACCACCCAGCACGCACGTCATATATAATTCATTATTTGTTGAAACATGATTTTTTATTTAGCTTAAATACGTAGTGAAAAAGTCATCTTTAATGCTTTACATTTTTTTGATATTTTTGTCAATTTTTAAACAAAAGTCATCTTTTATTTTCTTTTAAAAAAAATATCATAAGCATGTCGTTTTAATCTATACACTTCCTATTATTTATCTCTATATTTTTATACTTGATTATTTTATTTACTTAAATATGTCTTCAAAAATGCTTAATACTTTATATTTTTCATGATTTCTTTCTTAATTTTTAAACAAAAGTCATTTGTTATTTTCTTTTAAAAAAATATATTTTCAACGTGAGACTTGGTGAAATCATCAAGTATGCACACTTGTATAACTCATTGTTTGTTGATTTTTTTTTATATTTTAAAATTTTTCTTAAATAATAAGCACATATTTTTAATCTTCGCATTTTTTATTATTTATTTATATTTTTTGTTGAAACATGATTTTTTATTTACTTTAAACATGTCTTGAAGAGCTGTTTAATGCATTATATTTTTCATGATATCTTTTTCAATTTTTTTAAAAATTCTTTTATTTTATTTAAAAAATTATATTTTTGATGATCATGCACACATGCTATATACAGTTCATTGCATTCTTTTTCTTATTTTGCTCATGCTTTTTCCAGATTGTTTTGTTTTTTCATTCTAAAGTTTTTTTTAAATATAACCTCATTTTTAATCTTTTCACCTCCTATTATTTATTTATTTATTTTGTTTAAACTCAATTTTTTTAGCTTAAATATGTCTTCAAAATGTACTTAATGCTTTATATTTTTCTTGATATCTTTCTCAATTTTTAAATTAAAGCCATCTTTTATTTTCTTTTTAAAATATAAATTCTGATGTGAGATTTGAGGAAACCATGCATGTACACCACATATAACTCATTGCATTGTTTATCTTTTTTTGCTCATGCTTTTTGTTGATTTTTTTACATTTTAAATCTTTTTTTAGATAAAAGCACATCTTTTTAATGTTTGCATTTCTTATTATTTATCTAGATTTGTATTTTAAACTTGATTTTCTTATTTAGCTTCAACATATCTTCAAAAAATTCATATTGCTTTACAATTTTATTGATATCTTTTTCAAATTATAAATAAAACCGATCATTCATGAAGAATGTTAATCTTATATTCTTAAAATTTTTTATCATATTTTCAACCATTTAAAATATTTTTCGAAAATATATATTTTTAATGTGGGATTTGATGTTGCATTCTTTCCCTTTTTTCCTTGTTCATTTTCTTGATTTTTTTGCTTACAATTTAAGCCTTTTTTTTTAAATATAAACATAACTTTTTAATCTTTGCACCTTCTATTATTTATCTATATTTTTTTGTTTAAACATAACTGTTTTATTTAGTTCAAATATGTCTTAACAATGTGCTTAATGCTTTATATTTTTGTTGATATCTTTTTCAATTTTTAAATAATAATCATTTCTTATTTTTTAATTAAAAATATAGTTTTGATGTGGGACTTGATGAAACCACAATGCACGCACATCATATAACTCATTGCATTCTTTATCCTTTTTTTTTTCTTTTTTTTTATTTTTGCTTATATTTTTAATCTTTTTTAATTATAAGCACGTTTTTTTAATCTTCACACTTGTTATTATTTATCTTTATTTTTGTCTATGCTTGATTGTTTTATTTATTTAAATATGTCTTCAAAAAGTTCTTAATGCCTTATGTTTTTTTTTTTGAAATCTTTTCCATTTTTTAAGTAAAAATCATGTTATTTTCTTTTATAAAAATATATTTTCTATGTGAGGTTTGATGAAAAGATCATGCACATACCATATATAACTCATTGTTTTTTTCTTTTATTTTTAAAATCTTTTCTTAAGTATAAGCATTATTTTTTAATCTTTACACTTCTTATTATTTATCTCTATTTTTGATACTTGATTATTTTTTTTACTTAAATTTTTTTTCGAAAAGTGCTGAATGTTTTATATTTTTCATGATTTCTTTCTCATTTTTTAAACAAAAGTCATATGTTATTTTCTTTTTTAAAAAAATATATTTTTGACGTGAGATTTGGTGAAAGCACCATGTACGCACATCATATGTAACTCATTGTTGTTTCTTTTATATTTTAAAATTTTTCTTAAATGTAAGCATGTCTTTTTATTATCTTTACACTTATTATTTATCTATATTTTTGATTTTTGATTCTTGATTATTTTATTTACTTAAATATGTTTTCAAAAAGTATTTAAAAACATCTCTATTTTCATGATTTCTTTCTCAATTTTTAAACAAAAGTTGTATGTTATTTTCTTTTAAAAAATATATTTTCACTTGATAAAAGCACCATGTACATACACCATATATAACTCATTGTTGTTTTTTTATATTTTAAAACTTTTCTTAAATATAAGCACATTTTTTTAATTTTTGCACTTCCTATTATTTATCTTTATTTTTTTTATTTAGCTTAAACATGTGTTGTAAAAATGTTTAATGCATTATATTTTTCATGATATCTTTCTCAATTTTTAAACAAAAGTCCGTCTTTTATTTTGGAACTTGATGAAACCACCATGCACGAGACCAAGTATAACACATTGCATTTATTATCTATTTTTCCTTATGCTTTTTCTTGTTTGTTTTCTTGCTTTCAAAAAGTTTTTTTTTTTTAAAATATTACCACATTTTTTAATCTTTTCATTTTCTATTATTTATCTATATTTTTTGTTTAAAATTGTTTTTTAGCTTAAATATGTCTTCAAAAAGTGCTTAATGCTTTATGTTTTTTATTTTGAAATCTTTTTCATTTTTCAAGTAAAAGTCATATGTTATTTTCTTCTATAAAAATATATTTTGGATTTAGGATTTGATGAAACCATTATGCACACACACATCATATATAAATCTTTGTTTTTTTGGTTATTTTATATTTTAAAACTTTTTTCTTTTTCAATACGGGTACATCTTTGTAATCTTTGCACTTCCTATTATTTATCTATATTTTTTGGTTGAAACATGATTTTTTATTTGGCTTAAACATGCCTTGAAAAAGTGTTTATATTGTATTTTTCATGATACCTTTCTCAATTTTTTAAACCATAGTCAATATTTTATTTTCTTTAAAAAATATATTTTTGATGTAGGATTTGATGAAATCACTATGCACACATCATGTATAACTCATTGCATTCATTGTCTATTTTTCCTCATGCTTTTTCTTGATTGTT